CGTGCTGCGTGGGCATGGCGTGGCGCTGGTGTGGTTTGGTCGATGGTTCGTGGTGGTGGTATGTATCGGTGCTTGTTGTTGCTTTGTGCTTGTGGTTTGGGTCTTGTCCGTTTGGTTTTGAATGCGTGCGTTGACGTGTGTGTGGGGCCCCGCTGTCGTGAGTATGGTTTGAAGTCGATCGCTCGGATGACCCTGTATCGCGCACTGTTTATCGTGATGGTCATGATGTGCGTTTCCGATGTTGGGAACATGTATCGGACGGGTTCGCTTCGAGTTTGTAGTTTGGTTTTGTGTGCGTGAATTGGTGCCGTTCCGATTTGCCCGAAGGCGAAGATGCGTGTCATGCGCGCTGGTCTGCCGTGCCAGAGGCTCCACGGACTTTTTTTAGTGACGCTGTGTCTCATTATGGTGTACTTGAAGACAACATCGCGTACTGCGTCCTCCCAAAATTGGGGTGGTAGTGACGCGTGATGGAGTGCTGCTCTGGCACTTGTGAACAGCGTTTTGTTGATTCTTTCGGCAATAGAATTTTCTTGTGGCTGGTGGGGGGTGTTGGTTATGTGCTGTATGCTGTGAGATTGATATGTGCTTTTTGCGTGCGTCGATGTGAATTCTTTAGCGTTGTCTGTACTGTACGCTTGGGCGAGTTTGTTTTGTAGGGACAACGTGTGGAACAACTGCGGTATTATGGCGTTCACTTCTTGTCTCTTGCGAATGTAATAGGTGACAAGGTATCTGCTGGCCGTGTCTATGCAGGTGAATATGTGTGCATTTCCGTGTGTTGACGGGGGTGTGATGGGGCCGCATGTGTCTGAGCTGAGTTGCCCGGCGATTTGTTGTGAGTGTTGTGCGGTTGGGTGCGGCCGGGGGGATTGTCGAGCGTGCGCACATGAGGAACAGCTGATGGGTGGGGGGGCGCCTTGGAGGCTGGCTGGGAGGTTGGCGATGGTTCCTTCCTGTGCCATGCGTTGGAGCGCTTTGGGCGGGGAGTGGTTGAGGGCAAAGTGCCACTCGTACGCTGTTGCTGTGGTTTTTGTCAGTTGTTTGGATGTGTGTGGATTAGGGTCGTGGAAGTGTCGTATTTTTGGCGATCGGGTTCTGGCGGGTGTGCGATTTGGCAATAGGTGTGGTGATTTTGTCGCTGATTGGGGTGGGGTGGCCTGTGCTGTGGCCGTTGGTTGCTTGGTCGTCGTGCGGTTGTTGGCTCGTGTTGGCATGGTGCGTGCACTTTTGGCTGTGTGTTGGGTGGTGCTTTTTCGGGGTGACCAAGCACAGGCGTGCAGTGATTTATTCCATGGAGCTGTGCCGATGACTTTGTCTGTCCCTGATGTGTGCCGTATTTCTGTCAAATGTGACCGTGCATTTTAGTGATGCTAGAGCGTGGACAGATACTAGTGTGTATGGAATGTTCGGGCTGTGTACTGCTTTGAGGCGTAGGGGGTACCCCTTATTGGTATATGTCTGAATGGTGCCGGCGTGGGTGCATATCGTGGGTTGGTTAGTTGCTGTGAGAGATTTTATGGGATGGGCGAGGAGCTTCATGTGTGGTAGGGGGCGGGATGTGTGCGTGGGATGCGCTGCCGAGTCTAGGATGAACGTACCCGCCTCGCCTTGGTGGTGGTCGGGTTCGGTGTCGGTGTCGTCCATGTTGAGCTCACTGTAATGCCCGTCGTCTGGTTCGAGGATGGCTCGTGCCTTGGCGGCGGGTCGCCGACGTGCTGTCTTTTGATTCTGCGGATGTGTTTGGTCTCGACATTCGCTGTCCGCGTGTTGCGGGTTCCTGACGCCCTTTGAGATGTGATGGCGGCAGGGGTTGGTGTGTTTTGTGGCGGGTCGGCGTATTTGGCGGGGTTGGGGGCGGCGCCCGTGGGTTGGTAGGTACGCTCGTGGGCTGGCTGCTGCTTGTGACCAAGGGTTGCTTGGTTGGATGGCTTGACGGTATGTTTCGATTCGATTGTATTTGTGCACGAAGTCCTTCACGTCTTTGGGTTGCAGTGACAGGAGCTGGAGTCCGATGTTCACTGTTGTTGGGTTGTGTTTGAGGCCTTCGATCATGTAGTCTACTGTTGTGCTCTGTTTGGCGATGTCGGGGTAGCGAGCCGCGATCATTTGCGCCCTAATGGTCTCATGGCGTTGGACGTATTCATAGATTGATGGGCCTGGTTCGATGTGGCACTGTTCCGCTAGTTGTTTTAGGTACAGGTGGTCACTCGCATTCGTTGTGTCGAGATGGGCTTTGAGCTTCTCGAGGATATCGTGTGGTGTGGGGTTCTCGTCAGGCATAAGAAGGAGGTTGATGATGTCCGCTGGTATTGTGGCTAGCATTTTGCCCAAGAGTTTGTGCTTGGCGTGGAGGTAGGATTTTCGTTCCTGCTCGTCGTCTGGGGTGGGCGGGTTGCCCTCGATATGTTCGATTGCATCTTGTGTGTAGGCTGCGGATTTTATGGCCAGGAGCCATGGTCCATAGTTGGATCGGTCGAGCTTGGGGATATCCTTAATGTCCATGGTGGTGAGCGTGTGAGATCGTTGTTGCCTGGGAGGAGGGATGTAGAGAAGAGCTGCTGGATGCAGGAGGTTGGGTGTTGATGAGGATTCGGAAAGGGGGCGGCGGGGGCGGGTTGTGATGCCTGTCTTTCCGGCTGGTCTGTTTGCAGACGCTCGACGGCTGCGAGTGCGTGTAGCGCGATCCAGTTTGCGTTCAGTTGATGGTGTGTCGTAGTGGTGCGAAGCGGGCCATAACCTGATGAATCGTAATCCTCATGGGGGTGTCTTTACTCGTCGTCGCCGTCTCGTGGGTCTAAGTACCGCTGGTGACAGACTGTAATGCTGACAGTCTGTCCTTGCGGTCCGTCAGACAGATCGGTCGTGGTGTGTCACGAAAGGATGAATGAGATGTCCCGTTGGATCTGGATATTGTAATCCAGATCGTGATTGATTCGTCCGGTGTGCAATGCCGCATGTGTTTGTGCGCACTAAATACTCGTGCCGATGCATGCCTATCTTTGCTATATGTCTACTACATGGTCTTCCAGTTTACTCTCCCTCTTCGCTTTCATTGTGACATGATTGCGTTGCCTCTGCCTCCAACGCCTACTTCTTACACGCCTTGTCCACAGATTGACTTATCATTCCAATCTTGACAAACTACTATCCATACTGTGGATAGTAGTTTGTCAAGATTGGAATGCCGCAACATACGGTGTTGATGGACGAGGAGTATGTATGGATACACGCCTCGTCCATCAACACGGCAACTTCATTCCTTCGGCATTTCTGGAAACCATGCAATGATAAACATCCACTGTAATTACAGGTCCGTCATTGTTAATGGATATTCTCTCAGTGTCTCTGTCTCGGGAAGACGATCTGTTTCGCGGGTCTCAACGACCCACAACAGCGGATTCTAGGATACCCTGCGAGAATTGTCCTTTATGACATATCAATTTTTGCGGAGGCTATTTCAAAGGGCGGCAAAGCACTTGGATAACGTACAAGAGAGCCCGCTGGTGTCTCTGATAAGATTATGCATTTTCACAACGACTAAACTTCGCCTTTATCTAGAGTCTTCCTCCGAATCACAAATGGCTCGCAGATATGAGATTATTGACTCTCTCAAACACGAAGCCTTCCCCCTCTAGTATATTTCTGACATATTCACAAATCGTACCGCAACTCGTTCGGGGTCTCGTTTTCGGTGTTGCTAGGTGAGGATAAGCGAGTGCTATGAATTGTATTAAACGCCTCCTGTTGAAGAGGCATGGAGAATGCCGAACTGGTCCGAAACAGATGCCATAGCGGAATACATAGCGTGCTTGGAAGTCGATGCACGAAACATTCTTCCGCGGAACATTGGAAGAATAGTTTAGAAGCAAAATCAGCGCCCTCCGAAGAGCATTTTTCGAGGAGGATCGATGTCAAGCGCCGAGAAGTGAGTGCGGATCTTTTCATATGTAGGCCATGTTCTTACGTGATTCGTTTAAGATTCAAGTGCTGTTCCCGGCATTTTGTTTTGAGAAGGCCATGCCTCGCTTAAGAATCCTCTGACGAAACATGGTTGACTGGGTTCAGCTGGAAATGAGTGCATCTCGGGCCACGAGGGGCTTTTGTATGGCCTTTCAGTTCGTTCTTCTTTTTATCGTGTGTGATCTCACGAGGGGAGAGTGGGCGCCTGGGCTGCACACTTGGCTTGAGATGTTGATTTGTGTGTCTATTTTTCGTGATGGCATAGGAACATGCATGCTGGTGTATACTGTAGACGATATGCGATTTTCCATGTTTTTTGTTGACAGCTAAAAAGGGGGGCTGTGCGTGTAGGGGAGAGAAAAAAGCGAGATGTTAATTTCAAGAGGGGGGGTCGGTCCGGGTGTCGTTGTTGTTCTCCCCCTTTGCGGTGTGTCGCGGCGCGCCCCTTCCTCTTATAGAGGGGCCGCCACCATCTTCCACTCCACAAGACCGCCGCCCTTCAAAGGGAGATTGTCCACGTGTACACCTGGCGTACACGCGAACCAGCAAAATCACCTTTTTGAAGGCTTTGGTCCTGGGGCAACTCCTGGATACTGTACCCTGTACAGTACCCCAAATCTCCCCCACACGACCCCCTCCCTAGCCCCACACCCGGGCAGGGGCGACATATATATTGACCGATGGCCGGTCCTTGGCCCCTGGCGCTCGGCTTGAGTCAGGAAACCGGGGCTCGACCTTGACGATCCAATTGACACAATTTAGTGTCACCATCGACACCCTTCCCCCAATCGCTCCACGTATACACGTGTACAGCTCATCAACACTGTAAGCTATCACTTCCATCATCAACCTACCCACCTTCTCTACTTTTCATACTAACAAACTTCGGTGTTCCTGCGTTTTTCTTGAAGAACCTTACACCGCGTCAGGGTCTAGTTGCCTCCTGTTTCAGAGATCGCTGATTGCTTGTGTGGCAGTACTCAGGTGAGGTTTTAGTCCTCGAGTCTGCCCCTTGCAAGAAACCTGAGCTAACGAGGATGGTGAAAACCAAGCAGACGGCGCGCCGCAGTACTGGCGGCAAGGCGCCTCGGAAACAGCTCGCGTCGAAGGCGGCGAGAGTATCCGTTGAAGAGCTGAACGCTCGTGAGAGAATAATCTGGCTATTGTCGCAAAGAACGGACGTAATGAAAGTGTCGAAGAATGAAGAAGCTTCGCCTCGTTTTCCGTACCATGTATGGGTTGGAACGAGGCTGACAAGGTATGACTTGGATTTGACCGAAATGCTCCGCCTTTTCGGTCGACATGTTCTCGTCCACATAAGTGCGCGAGGAAAGCACGGGGTCTCGGTAGATGAGTTTTCCCGAGTCGGGTTGACTGAATCGATTGACGCTGAGCGTGCTTATGATCACGTGGAGGATGAAACTTGGAATATTGAGTCCATCTGCTATGATAAACTCGCAAATAAGTACGTCGCCATCGACGTACGCGACAAGTCGAAGCACGCCATCCTGCTTTATACCCTACAAGTCTGCGGCGGAAACAACTTCGACTCCCACACTAGAAAGTTCTTCGCATTATTCTTCATGCGAGACTTCCTGTAATCATCCAACCCAACCAGAACTTTGACTTCCAGATATGACATGATATCTCAGCAAGACTGTTATAGGTCTTCTACAGAGTAGAATGGAGTTGTGATAGCAACGGCAAGCTCCCCCTCCTCTTGGGAAGCAGAATTATCGTCGGCTTTGGGTTGAATACGAGAAAGGTAATCGGCTGCACTATTTGCGGATCCACGACGATATTCCACAGTGAAGTCGTACTCGGCCAGGAAGTCTAGCCAACGAGCCAAACGACCATGGATTTCTTTCTTGCGAAAGGCGTAACTAAGAGCCTGGTGATCAGTAATCAACTTGAAAGGTGTAGACGAAAGCACGTAAACACGAACTTTCTTCAAAGCAAAGATGAATGCAAGCGCCTCACGCTCACAAGCAGAGTACTTGCGCTCAGATGTGTTCATAGTACGACTTGCGTACTGGATAGGATGTATCTTCCCGTCATTCTTCTTTTGAGCCAGCACAGCTTCTACGGAGACCGAAGACGCATCCGTCTCAACGATGAAGGGTTTCTCAAAGTCTGGATATGCCAAGACTGGCAGGGAAGTCAACTTTATGCGTAGTTCATCAAAAGCTTCTTGCATTTACCCAGTCCATTTTAATTTGCCAATTCCGGATGTAGCTTCATAGAGTACCGCCACAATGTCCGCAAACTTGCAGATGAAACGGCGGTAGTAGCTTGCTAACCCGAGGAAACTCCTGAGTTTTGTCGTGGTGGTTGGGATTGGTGCATTCCGAATTACTTGGACTTTTCTCGGGTCAACAGCAATCCCACCCTTGTCCATAATATGACCGAGCAGCTCGATCTTTGCTTGAGAGAAGCTACACTTTGTCAGTTTAAGCTTAAGGCTAGCCTCATCAATCACATCAAATATTTGCTGCAGGGGCCGAAGATGATCTTCTAGATTCTTAGAGAACACCACAACGTCATTGAGGTACACACGCACAAACCGCACTCCGCGAAAGATTGTATCCATCATTCTCTGAAATGTCGAAGGCGCATTCATCAATCCAAAGGGCATGACTTCGAACTTATACGTCCCGTAGCGACAGGCGAAAGTAGTCATTTCTTTGCATTATTGTGCCATCCGAATTTGTCAGTACCACTGAACAAATCGAGAGAAGTGAAGTACGCACTTCCTTCCAAGTCATCAAATATCTCTTCTATTTTCGGCAAAGGCCATCTGTCTGCTTTCATCTTCTGGTTCAGAGAACGGTAATCAACACAGAAGCGTGGATTCCCATCTTTCTTGGATACGGTGACGACCGGAAAGGACCATGCGGGGCTGCAAGGCGTGATGATTCCTGCTTCCAGCATTTTGTCCAGCTCTTTCCGAACGATTTCGTTATGCAAGGGAGCCATTCTCCTCGCCGAGTGATAGATCGGACTAGTGTCATCTAACTCGAAATGGTGCTTGATTGGGCCTTCAGCAGGCCGAAGGTCGTCAAGGGATGTAGCAACGATACTCTTACCCATCAGGGCGGTCTCGATGACTGTTTGAGCTTCATTGTCAAGATGCACAAGTTTTTCCCGAAGCATTTTCACGGCCTTGTTGATGACATTCGAATCAGGTGATTCTACTTACCCATCTTCTCCGATCGCTCCGTCCAGAGTTAAGTCTAGATCGAAAGGTTCATCGCCGAGGATGGCGACAACATAAGTCTTTTCTTCCGACGAGTTTTCTGAGGCGAACGACTCGACATCAGAAGTGAAGTCCTCACTATCAGTCTCCGAATCCGGGACGATAGGACTTACTTGATCAAACTCCAGACTCATTTTCACGGTTTTGTTTCCGATCAACATTCTAACAGACTTGTGACCTAGATCGATGCAGGGTTGAAGTTCTTCGAGAGTTGGATACCCGATTAAGATATCAACTGGGGATCCTTCAACAACCAAGAAGTTGAGTGAAGTAACAGCACCATTGAACGTGACAGGAACTTCCTCGATGGAACCTAAGCAGGTTGTCTTTTGTCCATTGGCGACCGTAATCTTCGTCGAGGTCGGCTTTGGAGACAGAGAGAGCTTCGATGCCACAGACGCATTCATAACGTTAGGGATAGCTCCTGAGTCTAACAACGCCCTCATTTGTGTCCCGTAGAATTGTACCGAAACTACTTTCAGACGTTTCGGCAAAGTACCAATCGAAGCAGCTACGGGGCGTCTAGGGCGACTGTTGAACAAACGACGAATCTCTTTCTTGGCCTCGTCGCCATCTCCTCGAATCAGTTGACCGAATGTCAAACCAGAGGGGGCGTTCGCGAGGGAAGAAACCACATCGTACTTCCCCGAGTGCTCTTGGACGGCGTTCTTCTTACTTGTCCTCTTCTTTCTTGTTCGATGGCCGGGCTTAGGAGGTTTCCTCATGTGGTTCGGAGTCCAGTACTTACGCGGGTTGAGAAGGGACGGGATTGGCTCGCCGCCACCATCCTTTCGCGTCTTGGCCACCGGCTCTCCATCGGCGTTTCTCTTGACTGATGCCACTAACTTCTCATCAGCAGGGAGGTCGTCGTGCGTCACAACACTCACCTGGTTTCCTGCGGAGCCCGTCCGTGTACCCGACACGGCAATATCCGTCTGGGTCTTCTTAGGAGGGTAAGCACTGCTACCTCCCCTCTGTGGACCAATTCTAGCCCAACAGCTTGTCTCTGAATGACCAAATTTTCCGCAGCGAGGGCATTTCGTGTCCCTATGCGGATTTGCATCGCATCTATTAGCGCCATGACCCGGTCGTTTGCAATAAGAACAAGTACGATCGTGGGCGGGGCGGAATTCTGTTGCGTCATCCCTCGACTGATTCTTCTTGATAATAAGGGAAATATCGGCTAGTCGATCAGGTAAAGCGTCAACCTTCGTCTCGAGTGGAGACAAGGAAGCTTTTGAACGCATCATGACCCTTTTTGACCCATCTTGCCGTCTCAGCTCATACATAACTTGCGAGCTCTCTGACCCCTGGTAGCGCGAATTGCTCAAGGAGTTCGCCGCCGCCTGAAAGGCGCAGCGACCAGACCAGAAGTCCATGATTGCATCTAATAGGGCCTTGTAGGTCTTCGCACCTCGATAGATGGCAAACTGGGCCAACTCCAGATGTTCCATCACGGCGTTGCGAAGCAGTCCGAACTTCGCTTCGTCGTGGAATCCGGCCTTCTCGTAGAGACGGTCTGAGTTTCGAAGGGACCCACTGAGATCCCGGAAAGAAAAGCGAGCGGCCATCGCATCCCGAATCACATCTTCAGGTGATTCAACCGGGGCGAACCGCTCGACCAAGGCCTTCTTGACCTTCTGGTAGTCGGAGCCATCTGCACTGATATCTCCGTTCTTGACAAAGGCTTGATAAAAGAAGTCGAATGCATCTCCCTCCAGGTAGCGAAGGAGTTCAGATGCCCTTTCTTCGTCCGACTTGCCAGAGGTGGCAACATTTTCGAACACGAAGAAGAACTTGTGGACGTCGGCCGGCTTCGACCCGTCAAACTGTGACAGGGATTCGTCTTCTTTGCCACCCCTCCACAAAAGTACCATTTTGACAGCTAAAAAGGGGGGCTGCGCGCGTAGGGGAGAGAGAAAAGCGAGATGTTTATTTCAAGAGGGGGGGTCGGTTCGGGTGTCGTTATTGTGCTCCCCCATTGCGGTGTGTCGCGGCGCGCCCCTTTCTCTTATAGAGGGGCCGCCACCATCTTCCACTCCACAAGACCGCCGCCCTTCAAAGGGAGATTGTCCACGTGTACACCTGGCGTACACGCGAACCAACAAAATCACCTTTTTGAAACTTTGGTCCTGGGGCCACTCCTGGGCACTGTACCCTGTACAGTACTCCAAATCTCCCCCACATTTTTTATACAAAAATGTATACAGTAAACGAAATGGTGTCCAAACCAAAAGTCAGTTTAGACACCATTTCCTCAACGTACATGCTGTTGATTTGTTTGTGCTCTCATTTGGCCAGCAACAATACAAGTAGGGTACCCCCTATTTGGGACAATTTTCAGATTTTAAATACAAAAAGTTCCAGAACTGGACCCCGAGCGCCAATTTGATATCTACTGAGAGAGTAGCACACAGCCTTTCACATCCTGTAGCACATATTTGACCACGGAGCATTTCTCAGATGAGACGGTCAGTTTCTTCAGGCATTTCACTCAAGTCCAAAGGCCCTGAGGGCCATTCCATTCATCGTGATTGCCAATCACGCAATCACGTCAATAAATGGTGCCTGCTCCCTTGTGGTTGGTTGTTTCTATTACGTTTCCTAAAAAATGGTCATGCTCATTAAAGAAATAAACAATCGACTTAAATTAATCTTGTGCTCCAACTTCCTGTAATGCACCTTGCAATTCTAAAAGAATTGCACAATTGGAATTGTGCAATTCCAATATTCGTACATTTCGAAATGAAAATCAATTCGCTGCTTGTGCAACCCAGGGTTGCACATGTGGGAAAGCCAGAAAGCAGGATCTACTCTCTTTGCCGTGCCATCATTACCTTCTTTGAAACCTTTGCCCTTCCAGATCTAGGACTATACGTTCAACACAGCTCCTGAATTGCTTTCCAACACCATTTACGGTTATTTTCCGCTCCTTCACTTCTTGCCGTCTCATCAGTTGCGTCTTTCAAGACTGAACGCTTTCTACTCTGGACATGGATTGCTCCAGGGTACCCCTTCGCTGGAGTCTCCGTAAACATTCGGGATCGTTACCTGGAACGGATTCTTGCAGGTCACTTGCTCACAATTCAATCGTCAGACAAGAGCAGAGCGATTCAAGGCCCCTATCCCTCGCTAACCCTACATCGAAGGAACACAATGAATATGGACAGTCAGTTGCTCTCTCAACCCCGGACCCGTTCCCAGCCCGTCCTCCGTCACTTTCCAGGGCCTTGGCGGAGGTTTCCGCCTCAGATGAAGGTACTCCATTAGGTCTTAATCGTTCTGTATTTTCCGTCGATAATACAGGATTTTTGCGGAATGTTGATGAGTCGGAGAACCCTTCTG